CAGTAGAGAGAAAACTGAATCAGAAGGTTACAACAGGAAGAGGGATCATCATTTCAATTTACAGCTAAAGAGATCAATTAGAAAAGATCCAACTCAATCTATAAGACGTTTTGCACATGAGAGAGGAGTTTCAGCTATGACAGTCCAAAGAGCAGTAAAAAAGACTTGAAAATGAAATCGTACGTGAAACCTGTGAAACACCTTGTTACTCCACGACAGAAAGTTAGAAGGTTAGATAGGGCAATGGTCACCTTGAAAAAGTTGGAAAATGATCCTGGAATAATATATACTTATTTGAACTTTACATCAATCCTTTATGAGCTTCCGATCCATAGCTATGTTTAAGGATGAACATATTGTTTTCGTTTATGATTGATTTCATCATGATTCTTCTGTTCAGCTTGAAGAGTAATTATGCATTCTTATTGCTCAAAGTAGAGTACAATAGTGTTATAAAAAACCTAGGAGAATATCTTTACGATATCTTTAATCATTTCTAAGATACAACGGTTCAAAGGTCGCTTAGATTTAGGTGGGACTTATGAGACCGCTAAAATATAGAAGAGCGAACACTGGAAAAATTTTTTTTAATTTTTTAATCGCGTTCGTCCCCGGCAAGGCAATAAAGCGACTAAGACACAAAGGGTTACTGGATGTGGAAATATTAGAAAACATAAACATTATTTAGGAGCGAAAAGGAAAGAAGAGTAATCAGGAGGATCCTATATAACGATTGACAATGCATTTAAACTTTTGAAGATTAAAGTTGACTGGAAAGCATGGAGTCGGAAGGGAGTTCGACGAGCGAGAAAAGAAACTGTCAGCATAGGACTTACGGTTACATTTAGCCAACTCAACTGTAAATTGTTGAGATCTCGTTGCCAGTCTACTACTAAGCTTAAGTTCATAAAGTCTAGGTACCACAGCGAACAGCTCACCCGAACAATTATCATAAAAGTATGTATAGAAAAGACATAAGGAGGCAACATTACGGCAATGGGAAAGAGATTGAAGCCGAGATTAGGACCAATAATATTGCTGATTCTTTGGATTTTATCAAAGAGTTCTAGATAAATAGCAGAGGCACCGGACCATATTTGGTAGTAATAATCTAACCATAGACGAATGGTAGACTTCTAGATATACTAGCAGCATGGCCCGGCGTTCCCCGTCCTTGATTCAAAAATCGTACGACTCATACAGCAATCGCTGTCACTTGACTTAAAATATTTTTGCCCTTCCTTGCCTTTAAAGGAATGCCCTTTGCGATGCTGATGTTGCTACATGCCTTACTTCTACCTTATCTCACACTGCGAATTCTTTCTAAGCTCTATACTAAACATTAAATCTGTTACGAAAAAGAACTAAACAAAATGAACACAAAACGATCAGCTTTAAAAAAGGACTCGTAACTGGAAAAACCGAATGAAAAAAGAATGTTAACAACAAATACTTTTTCACAGCCAACCCAGTTCTGCGGAATCAGAATCAACGTTGAGTTTAAGCAAGCGAATGAGCCAATTGGAGTAAAGTGCCATGCAGATTTAAATTTTTCCCACTTGTGACGAATGCAGCTATCGATTTTTTTTGCATGCTAGCGTGATAGTTAACATTCGTGTTAGTCAGCTGTTGGCTGTCACTCTGACCAATAGAATCTTCCTGCCTATTCGTGGCAGCCAGCTCTGGCCAGTAGAAAATGGCCGCAAACTACATGAAAACTGCCGTAGATGCATGAAAAAATCGATTATTTCCACTATCGATGGGAGTTGAGAAATGCAAAGTCGGTCTTGGCCTTCCCGCTAACTTGGAGCATGTACATGTAAAGTTTGGTGCAAATCCGTCGAAAATTGCGGCCGTGCATTCATTACACACAAACACACATCCTGCCTTTTATAGATAGAGATATGATAGATTCTGGAGAGAAATAATTGTCTAGCATGACACAGTGAACCAACTTTTTTAGCATCTAACCGAGCAATGGATTCAGTATAGTCTTTCCACTTCATGTCAGCTTTCCATTTCATGTCAGCACATTGTTTCAGGTTTTTCTTTGTTCATATGTGATAGAAGATCGCTTAAAATCTATGTACTTCTCATGATACAGTAACAATATGAACAACCAGAAAACGACACATGAAGACCCGTTCTTTTAGTTTATTTTCCTCATATACAGTGAGCTCCCGCTTATTCGCGTTTCAGCATTCGTAGCTTCACGCATTCGCGGATTTTTCTTTAGAACATATGTACTTACTGGCCGCAGAAACCCTGAATATTCGCGTGTTTTTCTGAAGAACATATTTACAAATTATTCGCTGAGAACTCCCTCGATTCGCGTATTTTTCGATAGAACATATTTAAAATATTCTTGTATTATTTTCCTGTTATTTAAGTGACTTAAAACATATAACAGTCCATTTTTATGGTAAAAATTGACAGAATCTTCATTGTAAAAAACAAACGCAAAAACATGCGTAGTGCTTGGGCTTTGTTCTTTGTTAGGGGCTGGGGTCTTAAAAGTGGTTTATGCTAAGTCTGGGGGGGGGCACCATCACAGTTCTGTTTTTAGAAAATGTTTTAAACTTTATATTTTATGTCTTGTTACACATATTTTATACAGTATTTTCAATGGTTGTATCGATCTATGCGTAATTAAAAACGGTTATTGTACGTATGAAGGAAAATTTACGCTAAGTGTATCGTCAATAATACAATTTTACAAAAATGTTTTTAAAAGAATCTAAAATGTTTCTAAAGTGTTTAGGATAAAAGTTTAAGGTATATGGGGTTTTAACAATCAAAATAGGTATTTATAAGCACTTTTAAGGGCGGGGGTCAAGTATTTGTGGATTCTCATTATCCGCGGCAGGTTCTGGTCCCTAATCCCCTCCGCGAATACGGAGGACTCACTGTATAGTAAAAATTACATGAATTTAGACACATCGTATGAGAAAAACTGAAATACAAAATAGTAAAACGTGCTGGTATGTTGTTTAAACATTTTCTTGCTGAAATATGATGAAATTGTGTTTGAATTTGGGCGACAGCGAAAGTATGGATGGCAAGAAATGACAAAATATATCACTATGATGTGTTAGCTTTTTCATAAAAATTTATGATAAACGATCGATTAAATTTAGGTGCGTCTCATGAAACAGTTGATATCTAGATGATCAATGATAAAACTGGTCCATAGATAGCAAACAATGACAAAATATGTCGTTACTGTCTTTTAACTTTTTCTTTTCTCAAATATGACGGAAGCTCGCTTAAAATTTAGGCGCGTTTCATCAGACAGTTGATTTATAGATGAGCAAAATAACTTTTGTTACATTGTATTAGCATTCTTTGCATTAGCGGATGTGCGAGTGGTGTAATGAATAGCGAATCGGAGTTCGAATTTCAGATGAATCTCGTAACATTCATTTTCCACCAAATACCCATAGGAAATGTATGAATCCATCTCTTCTCCCTCTTAATGGGTTAAATAGTAAAATAAACTTGGATCTTCAACTTTGAAAACAAGACTAAGAGAGGAAGAATTAAATATTGTATGTTGCCCTGGCGTAGCACATACTATGCAGTTAACGAAAGATTCGTGGAGTTTCTACGGGTGCGGCAGAAATACTTCCCACGGGGTAAAACTTTAGTCGAAATGGTGTCAGATGATAAGACTTTAGTCGCAATGGTGGATGACAAGACTTTAGTCGCAATGGTGTCTGATGACAATACTTTAGTCGCAATGATGATAAGACTTCAGTCGCAATGGTGTCTGATGATGAAACTTTAGTCGAAATGGTGTCTTTATCTGGCTAATGCCTTATGTGGGAGGTATTTCTGCCGCACTTTGTATAACTCCGATCACTGTCATCCTTGAGTTGAGTTGCTCAGCTATGATGAAAGACCGCTTAAATTTAGGCGCGTCTCACGAGACAGCTTAAATATAGATGACCAAAAATAAAAAAAGAGTTCCGTTGCATCGTTTTTGCTATTTCTTGCTCATATATGATGAAAGGTCGCTATAATTTACATGCGTCTCACCGTACAACTGAAATATGGATTACCAAAAATGACAAGATATGAAATTACCCACAATCTCAAAGGTATATTTTCAACATTGAGATACCGTCATGTGACGAGTAACATACAATGTTTTTATATAAACACTAGTAAACATTCAAATGCAACCAAAAAATTTATACAGCCACACTTCGTTTAACGACTTACCTGTTTAACGACCGCTTGGCTTACGACCACCTATAAAATACAGTTATGTATGTGTTACGAAAGATTTCACCATGGTTATTTTCTCTCTCTCTTCAAAATGGATTAAAATTGATCAAATGAATGAATAAATATTTAATATAAATATACTGTTTGCAAACCGAATTAATGTCCAAAATATAGAACTGGTTTTCGAATGTGTTTATTACATTGACAGTTCAGTATACTACTGTATTGTATAAACATTTAAAAATCAATTAGAAATAATGATATTAAAGCTATCTGAAGCTGGTTGACAAGTACAGAATACCTGAAATAGCGGTCAGCTATATCTCACTTAAGAACTCACTCGTTTAGTGACCAGGTCGTTAGAACGCATTCATGTCGTTAAATGAGGAGTGGCAGTACTGAGAAATAATAATAATAAAAAAATGATATAACGCATCTTGTAAACAAAATCATTTCTCATTTATTCTTACAAAGAATATACACACAGGTGAGATTACATTGACAAGTATATAACGTCCTCTTCAAAGCATTAGAATTTTTTTAAAGTTCTTAAATAGTAAAATTCAGCTAAAATTCACCATAATCTCTATTATGCTTTTGTGACAAATTCTTGACATAATCTCAAACATCTTTCTAAGGTGACATTTTATAAAAATTATCTCCGCCATTTTTTTTTTGTTTTTTTTTTGTTTTTGGTTTTAGTTAACCTCATCCAAAATATTCCGTTTGTTTTAGTTACAACTGTCGGAAATCTCTTCACCATAAAACACCTAATAAATACCATACGACAAACTAGGGTCATGTTTCTGCGCAACAGATAGGATAACGGTGCATCCGCAGTCTTCTGAGCTGAAGGCGGTCCCAGTAGGACAGCTCCTCACTGTCCAACCATAGCCTTTCTCATATTTGCGAAAAGACGTTTGGTCATCAGCCGCTTTAAGTGTGCAAGGTTGTTGCGCGGCATCTTCAGAGTTCTCCTCGCTGCTGCTGCTGCTACTGCTGCTGCTGCTACTGCTACTGCTGCTGCTGCTAATATCTTCGCTGGGAAGGGAAATGGAACAGCTGCAGTCTTCGTCGTTGTAAGCGGTGCCCTTGGCGCAAGCCCGTCTAACATAACCTTTGCCTTCAATGAATTGGAGATAAAACTTTCTGTCACTATCTGATTTACTTGTGCATGGTACTGGTTCCAGAGGTTCGCAGTCTTCATTTTCCTCACTGCTACTGCTGATATCTTCCTTGGGCAAAGAAATGGTGCATGCGCAGTCTTGTTCATTGTAAAGAGTTCCTTTAGGACAAGACTGTTCGATCCATCCTTTGCCTTCTACATATTGCAAATAATGATCATAATCTTGGCTGGTTTTTCTTGTACAGGGGGCATCTTCTGGTTTTTCACAATCCTCCTCACTGCTGCTACTGATATCTTCCTTGGGCAAAGAAATGGTGCATGCGCAGTCTTTTTCATTGTAAAGAGTTCCTTTAGGACAAGACTGTTCGATCCATCCTTTGCCTTCTACATATTGCAAATAATGATCATAATCTTGGCTGGTTTTTCTTGTACAGGGGGCATCTTCTGGTTTTTCACAATCCTCCTCACTGCTGCTACTGATATCTTCCTTGGGCAAAGAAATGGTGCATGCGCAGTCTTTTTTCATTGTAAAAGAGTTCCTTTAGGACAAGACTGTTCGATCCATCCTTTGCCTTCTACATATTGCAAATAATGATCATAATCTTGGCTGGTTTTTCTTGTACATGGGGCATCTTCTGGTTTTCACAATCCTCCTCACTGCTACTGATATCTTCCTTGGGCAAAGAAATGGTGCATGCGCAGTCTTTTTCATTGTAAAAGAGTTCCTTTAGGACAAGACTGTTCGATCCATCCTTTGCCTTCTACATATTGCAAATAATGATCATAATCTTGGCTGGCTTTTCTTGTACAGGGGGCATCTTCTGGTTTTTCACAATCCTCCTCACTGCTGCTACTGATATCTTCCTTGGGCAAAGAAATGGTGCATGCGCAGTCTTTTTCATTGTAAAGAGTTCCTTTAGGACAAGACTGTTCGATCCATCCTTTGCCTTCTACATATTGCAAATAATGATCATAATCTTGGCTGGTTTTTCTTGTACAGGGGGCATCTTCTGGTTTTTCACAATCCTCCTCACTGCTGCTACTGATATCTTCCTTGGGCAAAGAATCTTCTTTTTCATTGGGGACAAACTGTTCGAATCCTTTGCCTTCTACATATTGCAAATAATGATCATAATCTTGCTGGTTTTTCTTGTCAGGGGCATCTTTTTTTTTCAAATCCTCCTCACTGCTGCTACTGATATCTTTTGGGCAAGAAATGGTGCATGCGCAGTTTTTTTTTCAATCCATCCTTTGGACAAGACTGTTCAATCCATCCTTTGCCTTCTATATTGCAAATAATGATCATAATCTTGGCTGGTTTTTTCTTGTACAGGGGCATCTTCTGGTTTTCACAATCCTCCTCACTGCTGCTACTGATATCTTCCTTGGGCAAAAGAAATGGTGCATGCGCAGTCTTTTCATTGTAAAGAGTTCCTTTAGGACAAGACTGTTCGATCCATCCTTTGCCTTCTACATATTGCAAATAATGATCATAATCTTGGCTGGTTTTTCGTGTACATGGGGCATCTTCTGGTTTTTCACAATCCTCCTCACTGCTACTGCTGATATCTTCCTGGGGCAAAGAAATAGTGCATGCGCAGTCTTTTTCATTGTAAAGAGTTCCTTTAGGACAAGACTGTTCGATCCATCCTTTGCCTTCTACATATTGCAAATAATGATCATAATCTTGGCTGGTTTTTCTTGTACATGGGGCATCTTCTGGTTTTTCACAATCCTCCTCACTGCTACTGCTGATATCTTCCTGGGGCAAAGAAATAGTGCATGCGCAGTCTTTTTCATTGTAAAGCGTTCCTTTAGGACAAGACTGTTCAATCCATCCTTTGCCTTCTACATATTGCAAATAATGATCATAATCTTGGCTGGTTTTTCGTGTACATGGGGCATCTTCTGGTTTTTCACAATCCTCCTCACTGCTACTGCTGATATCTTCCTGGGGCAAAGAAATGGTGCATGCGCAGTCTTGGTCATTGTAAAGAGTTCCCTTGGGACAAGACTGTTCGATCCATCCTTTGCCTTCCACAAACTGAAGGTAGGATTTGACATCATTGCCTGGTTTTCGGGTACAAGGTGCTGGTTCGGCTGTTCCACAGTCCTCTTCGCTACTGCTCTCGCTGATATCACTTTGGGGTAGAGAGATTGTGCACGCACATTCCTTGTTGCTGTAAGCAGTTCCCTTGGCACAGGCTTGTTCAATCCAGCCTTTGCCTTCCACAAACTGCAAATAGGTCTTGCTATTTTCACCGGCTTTTCTAGTGCAAGGTACGGGTTCTGCTTTTTCACAGTTTTCATCTTCTTCGCTACTGCTGCTGCTGCTGCTACTGCTACTGCTGCTGCTGCTGCTGCTGCTGGACTGAGCGGCCTCTTGGGGAAGCGAAATAGAGCAGCCGCAATCTTCAATGCTAAATGCTGTTCCTTCTGGACAAGAACGGCTTATCCAACCTTGATCAGGGGTCATTTCAAAGTAGGAAAATTCATCATTACCCAATTTCAAAGAGCACGTCTTTTCATGTTCAGCCCCGTCGCAATTCTTGTCGACCGGTTCTTGCATTGCATAGTCATAGTCGGGTCTTTGGAGAACGCCGCCGTAAACATTACTGGTGAGTCCGAAGACAACACACAAATAAACAGTACATAGAAATGGATGCATTATCAGCAAATCAACGCTCACTGGATGTAAATACTAAAACCTTTTGGTGAAATGTGACTGTCCTCATCAGGCAATGCTGCTTATATACTCTTTCGAAAACCTCAACAATGTCAAATCATGTTTAAGGATAAATTAATGGGGATTTTTTTTTATCTTCTGCGCACGCGGTTTGGAGAAAAAAAGAGGGCAGGGAATGATTAAGGGCGGTGTTGATGAATTTAGTCAGCGCGCTAAGTGTAGTAGAAATTCTTGCGACATAGTCATGTATTTAAGTTGTATACAAAGAAAAACGTAAAATTACGTAAGTGTGGGGACTTGTATGTGAAAGAATGCATCTTTGCATGAGTGACAAGGTAGGATGACGTATTGTTTAGTGACATTTTGTGGTTATTATTCTTGAAAACAATTTCTAGTTGGTTCATTTGTCAATTCAGCCGTTCTCAAACATTTGTTTGTAAACTCTGCCTTTGTTTATAGTGTGAATCGAAATAGCGTTTTAACTGTCCGAAATTCCTATCCTGGGCTGGTATCATTAATTTTTTACAATTTATCTTTTAATCTGATTTTTTTTTAAAAAAAAGAAATAAAAAAAACAAGTTTACGATAACGTGCAGTTTATTTTTACATAAGCCGCCATACTTAGCTGGTCGATCAGAAAAAGCGTTCAGTTAGAATGGAGCAAAAACAGCATCATGTTTAGATGTTCAGAGTCTATTTTCTTCAATTACTTTAAAGTACTTACATTAAAAAACAGTTTGAATTAATGCAGTTACTGATATAACAGAAGTCGTCTGTATTTATTCAATCGAATTTAGCCGAGGACAAGAAAGGGTAAAACAAGCAATATGAAGATCCACTTCAGATCACAATTATTTTGGAGTTTTTGAAATTCAATTTGTCAGTGAGCTACCAGGGACGTAAAATATGATACATCTATAAAGCAACTATTAAGTTTGATGAAAATGGGTTCAAAGGTCAACGAAAAATAAGAAAGAAGCCAGTAAAAATCGCCATTTTTCGCTATTTACCCGGGTTTTCACTATATGGCTGAACTCAATTATGAAGTTAAATGACTAACAATAAACTTATTGTTGGCTACAACTGAGTGAAGTTTATATTAGATTGCTTGAAAATTGGGGGAGTTTTTAGGTTAAAATTTGTGTTGAAATCGATTTTTCGTTTTTCACAGTTTTTCGCTAAACGCGGTGGCGTAGAAATTAAAATGAGGTATCGTTGAGTTCGTCATGATGTAAGTAACCTATATACCAAATTTGAACGAAATCGAAGGAAAAAGTTGAATTTATCGATACTGATCGGCTTTATCGATTATTCATTTTACGCTAAGAACCTGTCTCTTACATTGTACAATGTATGTGCTAAGTTTGGTCAAAATCGGTTGGATGGATATCGAGTGAAAAGGTATAACACAGACACGCAAACACATAGACGTCCTTTGTTTATATATATATATATATATATATATATATATATATATATATATATAGAGAGAGAGAGAGAGAGAGAGAGATTATACGGCTGTTAATTAAGCAGACTATATCCGAATATATCTGACTAAATCTTTCTTATCGTAGCCTATTCAATAAAGCGTTGCCCCAATGAGACAGGTTTCTCAGAGATAGTCCTGGGTAAGACGATAAAATGACCAACAATACATCAATGAACATGAAAGAATTCTCTGATGCTATTAATCCATATAATATCCTACAATTTAATCGGAGTAGATAGGTTCGCCTATCGTCCGGTTCACACTCTTCTCCGGTCTTTTGAACCAGAATAGAGATTCATCCTTTGTTTCCTGTTTAGGATTGGGTTTCCGGTTCCTTTTAAAGTTTACTTGAATTCTATACATCTAACGTTTCCAATTGAGCTCTGAAAATTTATTCGCGAATTAAATCTCAACATCTTCAAGTCTAGACTTAAATGTCTGTCTTTCTGATATCTTGTCCTTTCCCGTGCTAATACAACTCCACACAGTAACCCTCTACCTTGAGTGACCCTTGGGCCTTGTATTGGGTGAACATTAGTAAAAAGAAACAATTTTTTGAAGAAATCGAACTGTATTCCAAAATATAACTTCAACAAAAATTACATCACACACATTACATCCCCACCTCTAGTAATTATGTCCACACAAACATATATATGCGCAAAATCTGAGTTTCATCTACCATGTATTCAATTGTGAAAGAAGAATAATATATTTCATATTTATTGCTTCAAAGCTCCTAAGGAAATAAAATTTCGGCATTAAATGGCCCATAAGTTGTTGATATGCTGGTAAACAAATCAAATCACTTTCTCAGAGATATGAAAAATGTCTCCAAATCAAAGACACACAAATTCTTTATTTCTGTAATATGTCCGGTGGAGTAATGGATAGCGGCTCAGATGGAGGAATCGGGGAGCCGATTTCGATTTCCAGTCAAATCCATTACATTCACTTACGTGCTAATACCCTTGGGAAAGGGTATGAATCCTCTTTTTCTTCCCCCAGCTATGGGTAAATAGCAGGACAGACCAGGTTCTATAGCCTTGTATGGCAACTGATCTACCGCAGAAAGAAATGGCAACCTACTTCTGAAAAAAAAACTGCCTCGTCAGTCATGTATCGAAAGATACATGATCGCCTAAGCGTGTATCACGCATGGCACATAACTGATTGAATATGTCTATTCGCTAACGGTCATAGAAACTTAAAATTATATATTGTACCGACGGAAAAAGATAATTATATTGCCAACTGGAGGATTATTTTTGAAGGTAGTCCAAAAATGGTGTCCTGATATACATGGGCAGCAGCTGCCAAGTATACACTTTCCAGTCTCGATTGTGTCCAAAAGCGTCTCTGATGTCTAAGGATCATAGAAGCTTAAAATTATACATTGTAACGACCAAAAAGTTTACAGAGATATCCAATGATATTGCCGATTGGGGGACTCTCTTTGAAGGTAGTCCAAAAATGAAGCTGCCCAATCTCCACCCTCCAGTCACGTTAGAGTCCAAAAGCGTCTCTGAGATCTTGTGGGTAAGGTATGATTTTCCACCATACAACCAATTACTCACAGACGGTACATAGAAATCCTCTCGCTACTCTATCGCTATTTCCATGGAAAATGTTCAGACGCACTAGATGCCTTAGTTGCACGTTCTAACATTCTAACCTTCACAGTGGCTCTTAGCCACGCACATTGTAGCGACCCCCCTCATTTCTTTCGTATTCCATCGACGAGAAGCGTCTTCCCACGAACCGACACCCAAGAAGATCATCCCTGCAATCAACCTGTTCAAGTCTAGAGTCAACCGTTATCTTCTCCACCTATACCCATGAACTGTGCATTTTACTCTCTAACTTTCTACCTCGAGTGGCTCTTGAGCCTTGTACAGGGTGAACATTATTGTTAAAAAATGTGTCCTCCTTTCTGTTGCTTCTACGTAGGGTCATAAACATTCAATCTAGTCCTCAGTCCGAATAGTCAAATATGGATCGAACCCGTTTCTAGGTATTGATAACTTTCTTGTGATTCAAGATGCGCACACCTGGATTTCTCCCTCAGACAATTAATTTACAAGCCAACTGGGTATAAGTTTCAAAACTGCGATCAGTTTTCGAAGGAAAGAATTAATTGATCGCAAGTTTATATTCTTTTTATTAGATAATAGTAATGTTGACGGTGATATTAACCATTTCCTTATAAGCAAACAATCGACATTCGTTGACCGAGCAGCCAGGGTAATCGAATTATGCCTTTCTTCACTTCCTGAACACATGGGACAGTGATCAAAGTGTAGTAACCGTTTTCCTCATATCTCATAACCATGCTAATATTATTAGCCGTTTACTTATGTGGAAACATTCGACATTCATCGATCGAGCATCTACTCGAGTTACGCTTTTCTTCACTGCCAGGCAATCAGGCTTGGATCAAAGTGTAGTATCTGTCAACGCGCGGATAAACATCATTTTGTTTCTCAGATTTGTTTCTTTGTCTTCGTGCAGAACGCGGCTGTAATAAAATATTTAAAGGTGCCCGGGTCTTGAGGAACAGCTGCTAGCGGCAGTATCTCCCTTTTTGCACTAAAGATGGGAGCGGTACTTATACCGATGCCAGCGAAACCAACGGTTGCTTGTGTTGGGCTATTTTAAGTCCTAGCCCGGATTCACTCACTCGGGATTCCCACATTAAACTAACCTCGAGTTACAGCCTGCCAGCGTGGAGCGGCAACTAAAGTGTAGTATATGTTCCCATAATCTTCTTCCAACAAACAAAAAGTGTCTACGAAAATGGCATCGATACGTTCGTAGAAAGATGGGAGACATTGTTAAAAACAATGGCGACTATATTTCTTTCTTTTCTTTTTATGTGCCATGTCCTTTCAGGACGTAGGCGATCGTGGCTCTCCACCTCCTTCCCTCTTCTTCCTTCCTCAGACCACGTTCTATCATCCACCTGCTCAAGCTCATCAGGTATGTCACACGCTGCTTTCCCTTGTCTCTCTTCCCCTCTATTCGACTTGTGAGTATCAGATTCTCCAGGCCCTCCTTTCTCATTATGTGTCCCAGAAAATATAAGCCTTCTCCTTGTTTGCAACCTCTCTAAGACCTCATCGCTGATCACATGCTCGGTCCCTGATATCCTTAGCATCCTTCTGTGGGAGGGGGCATATGTAAAATTTTGTTTTTAATTTTCTAATCGGAGAGGAAATTTTGCCATGATCTAATATAGTATCCATATGAATTTAAAGAGACTGGAAGAGATAATACTCGATATGATCCTTTGTAGAACTTCAGTTCAAGTCTTTTGTTCTTTTAAATTATTAATAAACTAGTTATTTAATTGTATAAGCTTTTAATGGCTGCATAATATAAATGAAGGTTGTAGCGTGAAAAAATAATCTTTCGATGACTAATGAATTATTACAAGAATT